ATCAAATTTAGTCATAAATTTCTGCCAAAATGCATTCTGCGACATGTCTTTGCTAAAAAAAAACCCAATACGTGTAAATTAATTGGTTTACGTGAAAGTTATATTGTTTACAAATGGCGGGAAAGATACTGGGATTTTTAGGGTTTTTTTTATATAATAATATATATACTAATAATGGTGGCGATCAGCAAATTATGGCGGCGATCAGGGACTTATGGCATCGACCAGTGACTTATGGCGGGACTGCGGCTAACATTCTGACATTGGGGGGTACTGATTTGGGGTCACTGACATCCCCAAAAATACTAATACAGTGATCAGTGCAAAAAAAAAAAACACTGACACTGTACTAATGGCAATGGGGAGGAAGGGGTTAACTTTATTTTGCAGGGAAGGGTTATAGGAGTGAGGGGGAGTGTTTTACTAGGGGGCGGGGTGTGTACTGGGCGGGACAAGGCTGATCGAGAAAGAGAAACTGTTCTTTCTCGATCAGCTCATCCTCGAGCTGACAGGGAAGTGTCAGACAGCACAGCTACTGCAGCTGTGCTGCCTGTCACTGTTTGCCGCTGATCGCCGGGACATAGCCGCTAAGGACCGGCTGTGACCCGGCGACTGACATCTGCAGCGGTGAACCGTGGGAGAAATAGGGCGGCGGCGCGCCTCGCGCGCGCCCCCGATTTGTTTACAAAACACACGGTTTAAAACGTGGTTTTGCCTGTGAGTGCCGCCCTGCCGCCGTATATGTACAGTGGCTGGGCGGCATGCGGTTAACGTGACTTTACACAGCTAACATTAAAACACCCCGTGTGCATGGAGCCTATGAGCTCTGCCAGCTTCCACAGTGATGGCGTGCTGTCAGTACCATCTTTGCAATTGTCTGGTATATGCAGTTTCTTATCCCGAGCAGGAAAATTGATATTGGTCTCCTAGGTAAATGTAGACAACAAAAAAAACAAACAAAACCTATCATTAGGAATGCAATTATTTCATGAATTTAACCAATTCAATACCGGGCAATTTTACACCTTCCTGCCCAGGCCATTTTCCAGGTTTCAGCGCTCTCACACTTTGAATGACAATTGCGCGGTCATACAACCCAAACTAAAATTTTATCATTTTCTTCACACAACTAGAGCTTTCTTTTGGTGGTATTTAATCACCGCCGGGGATTTTATTTTTTGCTAAATTATCAAAAAAAGACCGAAAATTTTGAAAAAAAAACACGTTTTTCTTTGTTTCTGTTATAAAAGTTTGCAAATAAATAATTGTTCTTCATAAATTTAGGCCGAGATGTATGTCTTTGGTGAAAATAACCCAAATTAGGATGTATTTTTTAGTTTGTAGGAAAGAGTTCACAAACTATGGTATAGATCTGAATATTGATCAATCCTGAAGTACTGACAGCCAATCTAATTTCTTGAGGTCCAAGAATGTCAGAACAGTACAGATATCCCCCAAATGACCCCTTTTTGCAGAGTAGACAGTCCGACATACTTCATAAGAGGAATGGCAAGTTTTTTGAAGTTGTATTTTTTTTGTCATCATTTTTCGGAAAATGAAAAAATGCAAAAAATTATTTTCACTATTTTTTTTTTTTTACATACTGTCACCAGTGCAGTACATCATCATCATACTCAGATCTGTCATCGGCCATGTCCAAGGTACACGTCCGGTGACAGATCGCACCGCTGCGCGGCTCTGCAAGCGCGAAAAGTGCGCATGTGCTGGAGGACACCATTTGGCGTCCAACCCGGAAATCCAATACATTTTTCCGGCCGCCTTTTGGCTATTGGCCGGGCGTGTATTGGTTAAGGTTCTGAAGAACACATAATGTTACATTTGTTTGTGCCAAGATGTTGGACCCCACTGAGGCTTCATGGCCGCACAAGCAACCATCAAACATTGGTCTAATGCAATCATTTGAACACCTTGCTAGTACCAGGATGGACCCCTGTTTGCCTTCAGAACTGCCTTAATTCTTTGTGGCAGGAATGCGTATGCATCTTGGTTGCAGAGGCATAGCTTGAAGCTTGTGGGCCCAGATGCAAAAGTTGACTACTATCTGTAGCTTCCACTGTGCACCAAGATACTCCAAGTGGCTAAAGAATTATTTAAGATTTTTTTTACATAATGAAAGGGTTATTAAAAAGATTTTGGAGAAACTGTCCACATTTTGATATACCTCTTAAATTCTTTTAAATACCCTGGAGCAGGAGTAGACAACCTTTGAAAGGTGGAGATCTACCTGAACAACATGAAAGAGATCAAAGATCACTGGGATTTGGAGATTTGGCTAGGCCACTCCAGGACCTTAATTTGCTTTTTCTTGAGCCACTCCTTTGTTGCCTTGGCCATGTGTTTTGGGTCAATGTCATGCTGGAACATCCATCCACGACCCATTTTCAATGCCCTGGCTGAGGGAAGAAGGTTTTCACCCAAGATTTGATGGTACATTGCCCCGTCCATCGTCCTTTGATGCAGTGCATTTGTCCTGTCCCCTTAGCAGCAAAACACCCCAAAGCAGAATGTTTCCACCACCATGTTTGACAGTTGGGATGGTGTTCTTGGGGTCACAGGCAGCATTCCTCCTCCTCCAAACACGGCGAGTTGAGTTGATGCCAAAGAGCTTGATTTTGGTCTCATCTGACCACAACACTTTCAACCAGTCCTCCTCTGCATCATTAAGATGTTCAGTGGCGAACTTCAGACGAGTCTGGACATGCGCTTTCTTGAGCAGAGGGACCTTCCGGGCACTGCAGGATTTCAATCCTTGATAATCCTCTGATAATTTCTTCCTGCATTCTAGAGCTTTTGCTACATTTCTCACCTCTTTGCCACTATCCCCCACAGTAATTCCATTCTTCTACTAGATGTCCTCAGTCTTCTGGGTGAAATGAAGTATGGTGTCATTCAACTTGGAAGACTGAGGACATACTATGAGTGCAGGGAGTCATAAACCCACAACAGCCTGCACTCAGTGTAATGATGCAAACTCTGCCTCTGATGGCAATATGTTCTGCATCTCCAAGGATCACCCATTGCTGGGAAAACATCAGAAGAAGTCCTTGCCTTCCACATGACTAGATGAAGACTGGAAAAAAATAAATAATTAAAAAAAAAAAATATATATATATATATATATATATACACACACACAGTATTTCACAGAAGTGAGTACACCCCTCACATTTTTGTAAATATTTTATTATATCTTTTCATGTGACAACACTGAAGGAATGACACTTTGATACAATGTAAAGTAGTGAGTGTACATCTTGTATAATAGTGTAAATATGCTGTCCCCTCATAATACCTCCACACAGAGATTAATGTCTAAACCGCTGGCAACAAAAGTGAGTACAAAAGTGAAAATGTCCAAATTGGGCCCAAAGTGTCAATATTTTGTGTGGCCACCATTATTTTCCAGCACTGCTGTGACGGGAGTCACTTTGGGTGGGGGGTCCATGGAACACAGCTCACTTTGGAGAGGTGGGGAGACCCCTGTCTCAGCTCCCCATATTCCTATAATGTGTAAGTCACCCTGTGCCTGTTAGGGTTACAGGGTGATCTGTCCTAATATTGGGATGGGGTGGGGGGTTGTTCATTGTTTAATGCCATGTGATTGCATCACATTGTTCTATTGTGTGTCTTGCTTGGGAGCAAACTATTATGGGATGCATGTGTTTGTGTATTGGCTTGGTGGGGGGGGGGGGTGTCTTCAGCAGCCCTCTCTTCTGATGGGACTGTCTGGTATGTCTCCTGTTACTAAAGGTAGATTGCCCCGCCCTATGTCATTATGCAGGGAGGGGGGTTGTTCCCTTGAATGTATATATCTTGTATCTGTGTTAAAATAATCTATTTCCTGGTTTTACTTCAAGATTGGTGTCGTGTAGTCTTGTATGGTCTGCTGTGGTGTCTGTGGTCGGTGTTCGGATGGGGAAGCAGTATCCTAAGGGAAGTACCCAAGTGCAGGCGGGGTCCGATTCCATTACAACTGCCTTAACCCTTTTGGGCATGGAGTTCACCAGAGCTTCACAGGTTGCCACTGGAATCCTCTTCCACTCCTCCATGATGACATCACGGAGCTGGTGGATGTTAGAGACCTTGCACTCCTCCACCTTGCGTTTGAGGATGCCCCACAGATGCTCAATAGGGTTTAGGTCCGGAGACATGCTTGGCCAGTCCATCACCTTTACCCTCAGCTTCTTTAGCAAGGAAGAGGTTGTCTTGGAGATGTGTTTGGGGTCATTATCATGTTTTAATACTGCCCTGCGGCCCAGTCTCCGAAGGGAGGGGATCATGCTCTGCTTCAGTATGTCACAGTACATGTTGGCATTCATGGTTCCCTCAAGGAACTGTAGCTCTCCAGTGCCGGCAGCACTCATGCAGCCCCAGACCATGCCACTCCCACCACCATGCTTGACTGTAGGCAAGATACACTTGTCTTTGTACTCCTCATCTGGTTGCCGCTACACATGCTTGACACCATCTGAACCAAATCAGTCTATCTTGGTCTCATCAGACCACAGGACATGTTTCCAGTAATGCATGTGCTTAGTCTGCTTGTCTTCAGCAAAATGTTTGAGGGCTTTCTTGTGCATCAACTTTAGAAGAGGCTTCCTTCTAGGACGACAGACATGCAGACCAATTTGATGCAGTGTGCGGAGTATGGTCTGAGCACTGACAGGCTCAACCTCAGGGTCAACAATTCTTTTTTTCAGATTCTCAGAGAGTTCTTTGCCATGAGGTGACATGTTGAACTTCCAGTGACCAGTATGAGAGAGTGAGAACGATAACACCAAATTTAAGACACCTGCTCCCCATTCACACCTGAGACCTTGTAACACTAACAAGTCACATGACACCGGGGAGGGAAAATGGCTAATTGAGCCTATTTTGGACATTGTCACTTAGAGGTGTGCTCACTTTTCTTGCCAGCAGTTTAGACATTAATGGCTGTGTGTTGAGTTATTTTGAGGTGACAGCAAATTTACATGTTATACAAGCTGTACGCTCACTATGTCACATTGTAGCAAAGTGTAATTTCTTCAGTGTTGTCACATGAAAAGATATAATAAAATCTTTACAAAAATGTGAGGGGTGGACTGACAACTCATGGGGCCCCCGGGCAATAGAGGATCATGGGGCCCCTGTGTCCTTGCCAAAACTCAAAAAAGCCTATGAAAAAGGTACCAGGGGCATCTCATGGGGCCCCCTACTGACCCCGAGTTTCCAAATGGTTAGTCCAACTCACTTCTGTGAGAATATATATATATATATATATATATATATATATATATATATAGACACAGGTGAAACTCGCAAAATTAGAATATCGTTCAAAAGTTCATTTATTTCAGTAATGCAACTTAAAAGGTGAAACTAATATATGAGATAGACTCATTACATGCAAAGCAAGATAGTCCAAGCCGTGATTTGTCATAATTGTGATGATTATGGCTTACAGCTCATGAAAACCCCAAATCCACAATCTCAGAAAACTAGAATATTGTGAAAAGGTGCAATATTCTCGGCTCAAAGTGTCCCACTCTAATCAGCTAATTAAGCTACAACACCTGCAAAGGGTTCCTGAGCCTTTAAATGGTCTCTCAGTCTGGTTCAGTAGGAATCACAATCATGGGAAAGACTGCTGACCTGACAGTTGTGCAGAAAACCATCATTGACACCCTCCATAAGGAGGGAAAGCCTCAAAAGGTAATTGCAAAAGAAGTTGGATGTTGGATGTTGGCTGTATCAAAGCACATTAATAGAAAGTTATGTAGAAGGGAAAAGTGTGGAAGAAAAAGATGCACAAGCAGCAGGGATGACTGCAACCTGGAGAGGATTGTCAGGAAAAGGCCATTCAAAAGTATTGGGGACTCTCACAAGGAGTGGACTGAGGCTGGAGTCCTCAAGAGCCACCACACACAGATGGATCCTGGACATGGGCTTCAAATGTCGTATTCCTCTTGTCAAGCCTGAACAACAAACAATTTCAGAAGCCTCTTACCTGGGCTAAAGAAAAACAGACCTGGTCTGTTGCTCAGTGGTCCAATGTCTTCTTTTCTGATGAGAGCAACTTTTGGAAACCAAGGACCCAGAGTATGGAGGAAGAATGGAGAGGCACACGCTGCAAGATGCTTGAAGTCCAGTGTGAAGTTTCCACAGTCTGTGTTGATTTGGGGAGCCATGTCATCTGCTGGTGTTGGTCCACTGTGCTTCATTAAGTCCAGGGTCAATACAGCCGTCTACGAGGAGATTTTGGAGCACTTCATGCTTCCTTCTGCAGACGAGCTTTATGGGGATGCTGACTTCATTTCCAGCAGGACTTGGCACCTGCCCACACTGCCACAAGCACCAAAACCTGGTTCAATGACCGTGGGATTACTGTGCTTGATTGGCCAGCAAACTCGCCTGACCTGAACCCCATAGAGAATCTATGGGGCATTGCCAAGAGAAAGATGAGAGACATGAGACCGAACAATGCAGAAGAGCTGAAGGCCGCTATTGAAGCATCCTGGTCTTCCATAACACCTCAGCAGTGCCACAGGCAGATAGCTTCCATGCCACGCCGCATTGAGGCAGTAATTGCTGCAAAAGGGGCCCAAACCAAGTACTGAGTACATATGCATGCTTATACTTTTCAGAGGTCCGATATTGTTCTATGTACAATACTTGTTTTATTGATAGCATGTAATATCTAATTTTCTGAGATTGTGGATTTGGGGTTTTCATGATCTGTAAGCCATAATCATCACACATGATGACAAATTACAGCTTGAACTATCTTGCTTTGCATGTAATGAGTGTATCTCAGATATTAGTTCGCCTTTTAAGTTGCATTACTGTAATAAATTAACTTTTGCACAATATTCAAATTTTTCGAGTTTCACCTATATATATATATATATATATATATATATATATATATATATATATATATATATGGCTTTTTTTCAGCAGGAACACGGGAGAATGCAGTTCTGGCACCTCCCAGCACTGTTGAGATTTCATAGCAAATTGTTAATATTTTCAGGATTGTTTCACATTCATATAGATTTTAATATTTGTATAAATAAAGTGTTATATGTGAAAACGCCAATATAAATGAAATAACTCAAGCACTTACTATGGTGAATAAAAAACAAAAAATACACATATATATATATATATATAATAATGTAGCCGCTAGTGCACACAACCCATGTCTCAGTGGGGCAATTAATAAGGTGAAGAAAAAATGCTGCGCTACATCAAAAAAAAATGCACACTGCGTGAGGTGAGCAGATATATGGCGGAGGATGTTTTCTCACTGGAATTTGTGAAAGCTGCACATAGTTACATACAGTTACATAGTCTGGCTGAAAAAAGACAAAAGTCCATCCAGTTCAACCATAGAAAAAAAAAAAAAGTTATAATCCTACACCCACAGTTGATCCAGAGGAAGGCAAAAAAACCCAGCAATGCATGATCCAATTTGCTCCTGCTGTGAAAACGTTATCCACATGAGGGTTTACAGAAGAACACTATTTTGATTGGACTTGAGTTTATAATGACTGTTTTGGTTGATTCAATTATTATTCTTTGTTTTGGTTTGGGTGATTTTTGGTTTTCGGTTTTAATTTCTTATTTTTCAAATTTTTTGATGCATAGGTATTGTGCATTTTTTTCATGTAGCGCAGCATTTTTTTCACCTTTATTCTTAAAGTGTTATATGTGGTTTTAAAACAATTTTTGTCTCTGCCTGTACCTGCAAAGTCTGGACATTTGAAAAAAAAATATTTTTTCTGATGATGTCTTGAAATTACAGATGCTATACTGCGGTGGTCCCTTTTTCTTTTTGTGCAAAAAATATATATTTTTTTTAAAAGTCAGTGAAAGGATGTATTTTGCATGAGCAATTTATGCAAATAAATACACTCGTGTTTAGCGATGTGACTGTACTAAGGGGAAAAAACTTTCCTACGTGACAAATTTTAATTTCCAGCTTACTATACGTATTATTCCATTACGTATATGTTCCATCCTTTTATATATTTACATAGGTAATATGTTGCTCAGAAGGCTTTGCTGGTTATAATCTGGGGTAAACATCTGCGCAAATTACAAAATGTCACTTTAGTTAAAGCATAAGAAGTCATTTTTTCTAATTTCACCATATTAAATGATGTGATTGGGGAGACAACAAAAAGCTAAAAGTCATAAAATGCACAATCCGCAGATCACTGATAAAAAAATGCTCTGGGGCTCAGATGTTCAAATAGCTGTTTTAAAGGATACATTGAAGTGGTTGTGAACCTCAGCCATGAGTTTTGAACAAAGCATATCCCTCTATAGTGTGTTCTTGTCTAAATCCAGTGTGCTAAGGGGGTTATTTACTAAAACTGGAGAGTGCAAAATCTGGAGCAGCGCTGCATAGAAACCAATCAGATTCCAGGTTTTATTGCCAAAGCTTAACTGAACAAGCTGAAGTTTTTAGTAAATCTCCCCCTAAGTGTCATTTCTGCCCGCTGCCTCCTTCCTATATCTATCTCATGAGTCACTTCTGACAAGCTTTCCTGACACCAAGAGATAAAAAGGTGACGGGGCAGGGAGCTCCAGCACAAAGCCTATGATTGACAGCCTCAGCTCTATTCCTGTGTGCTGTGTGGAGGGGAGTGTGTATCTTCCCTCCCATCAGCTCTCAGAGCTCTCCTCACTGAGCTCTGCAGAGTGTAACTTCAGCTCTCCACCCCCTTTTTTCTGACAGCTCAGACAAGCACTCTGACCATGCACTCTGCCATGCAGACTACTGCAGTATTTACAGTGCATCCAGAAAGTATTCACAGCGCTTAACTTTTGCCACATTTTGTTATGTTACAGGCAGGGGCGGACTGACAACTCATGGGGCCCCCGGGCAATAGGGAATCATGGGGCCCCTGTGTCCTTGCCCAAACTCAAAAAAGCCTATGAAAAAGGTACCAGGGGTATCTCATGGGGCCCCCTACTGACCCCGGGCCCTCGGGCAGTACCCGAGTTTCCAAATGGTCAGTCCACCCCTGGTTACAGCCTTGTTCCAAAATGGATTAAATTCATTTTTTTCCTCAACATTCTACAAACAATACCCTATAATGACAACGTGAAAGATGTTAATTTTGAAATCTTTGCAATTTAATAAAAAGAAGAGAAAAAAAAACACATTTACATAAGTATTCACAGCCTTTGCCATGACACTCAGAATTGAGCTCTGATACATCCTGTTCCCACTGGTCATCCTTGAGATGTTTCCACAACTTGACTGGAGTCCACGTGTGGGAAATTCAGTTGATTGGACTACGGTGATCGCCCAGGAACAGTGACAGGGGAGAGGTCTGTGTGAAAACACAGATCTCTCCATTGTCAGTAACGACATGCTTCTTTGTACTGTATTGCTCTGCGTAGCAGAGCAATACAAAGCAGCATGCTTCCCTAGTAAAGCACACACTATGTAAAACACAACACAGCACACATTTAACCCTTTGATCGCACCACATGTTAACCCCTTCCTGCCCAGTGTCATTAGTACCTTGTCAGTACTTTTTATTAGCACTGATCACTGTATTGGTGTCACTGGGGATGTCAGTGGCAGTTAGTCAGTTCCCCCGTTAGTGTCAGAATGCCCGCCACAGTCCTGCTATAAGTCACTGATCGCCACCATTACTAGTATTAAAAAAAAAAATTCCACTATATATACCGCCATTTGTAGGCGTTATAACTTTCATGTAAACCAATGAATTTACATGTATTGGGATTTTTTTCTGCAAAAATGTAGCAGAATACATTTTGCCCTAAATTTATGACAAAATTTAATTTATTAAAAATTTTTTACTGGATGTTTTATAGCAAAAAGTCAAAAAATATTGGGGGTTTTTTCTAAACATTTTTTTTCGATTATAGCACAAAAAGCGTTGCATGACCGCACAATTGTTAGACAAAGTAACGATGCAAAAAATGGCCTGCTCAGGAAGGGGGGGTAAATCCTCTGGAGGGTAAGTGGTTAACCATGCACCTTAAGCCCCTCCCACTTAACAGTTTGTCCACAACCAATGTGTGTGCTGTAGGTAAACATTTCCATAAAGTGCCCCTCAAGTTCTAAAGTTAGGAGGTGTGGAAAAACTATAATGGTTCCCTTTAACTCTGTTCGTTATTTTGTCCCATCAGAGAGTATGGAAGTATGTAGTCAGCCATCACTGACCTTTCCTTCTGAAAATGCCAGTTTCTTTTCTATTAAAGAATAACTTCACTACCCCCACTTTTTTTTTTTATCTGTCATGCAATTTTGTCATCGATTCACAGACTCACCTACCCAGCATATCCAGAGTCGTCCTGCTGCAATTCACTGCTCAGATCTTACAGCCAAGGTCCTGCACCGCCATCTTGGTCCAACTCTGTTATTGATTGTTGGCTGCCTCTTCTGGGTTTATCTAAAAAAAGATAAGAGCCAATGGAAGGAGTGCCAGACCAAAGGATAAAAAAATCCAAATTAATTTATTGGTTTACGCAAAAAAAACCAAAAAAAAAAAAACAACCAATGAGATTTCGGGGTCATAGAAAACTTCCCCTTCATCAGGGATTCAGTTAAAATAGGAACCTGAAAAGGACTCAAAATAGGGTTTTCCTGTGTGAATCTATGTAAGGAAGCTAAATGCTGGATCAGAAGAGTTACTGACCCGCAGTATCTGCATGGGCAATCAAGTGTCAGGGCGCCATTCAGAACAAAGGTGAGCATGTGCTGAGAAGATGGCAGAACAAAGATGTGCATGTGCTGAGATCTGATATAATTGCCAATACTGTACGTGGCCATGCTCTTTAAGGCGTGCACACTGGCGCACGTTCACACCAGGGGCGGACTGACCATTTGGAAACTCGGGCACTGCACGAGGGCCCGGGGTCAGTAGGGGGCCCCATGAGATGTCCCTGGTACCTTTTTCATAGGCTTTTTTGAGTTTGGGCAAGGACACAGGGGCCCAATGATCCCCTATTGCCCAGGGGCCCCATGTCAGTCCGCCCCTGGTTCACACACATCTGCTGCCAGTACTGGTGCCAAACACTCTATATAAGAACAGTGGCTGGATGATCTTCAGCTACCAGGACTCCTTTCTCCTGTGTACAGGATTAGCTATTACCGACCTGGCTTGCCTCTGGACCGTCCTGCTACCTGTCTCCTGGTTTGACCCCAGCTTGCTCTAAGGACTCTGCTTCTTTTGTTCAACTGTGTATGGCTCTGGCTTGCTCCTCTGACTACTCTTCTGCTAGTTCCACTGGAGTCCTGTGGGTGATCTCAGCTCTGTTCTTGACCACGCTCCAGCCCACCCCTGGGCTTGGATCCTGTGCATGACCATCCTGACTACGCTTCCTCAGTCCGGTCCTGCCAGCCTGATCTTGCTTCTTCCTCGGGTGTCATTTCTCTGGTCACTGTCTTGGACCTAATAAATGGCAAAATAAGTGAGCGCTAAAGGTAAAGTCAGCAGCTGTGCACCGCAAGGTACCATATAAAACCTTCAAAGTAATAGAGTAAAGTAAGGTGCAGCGCTAAATAATTATATATCAAGAATATTCTAAAATCACCATAAACAATGAATATCCCCTCCTCAAAAAAAAAACTACACTCCCTCAGCCTCAGAGATTCTGCTCTCTCCTGGGTCTCATCCTACCTGTCACAACGCTCCTTCAGCGTTACCTATAATGCTATCACCTCCCCCTCACTCCCCCTCTCTGTTGGGGTCCCTCAAGGCTCTGTCCTTGGGCCCCTTCTCTTCTCCATCTGCACCTCCTCCCTTGGCCAACTCATACACTCTCACGGCTTCAACTATCACCTCTATGCCGACGACACACAAATCTATCTCTCAACCCCCCACCTCACCCCCCCTCGGTCTCCGCCCAAATCACACACCTACTGAGCGACATATCAGATTGGATGTCGCTCCACTTCCTTAAACTGAACCTCTCCAAAACCGAGTTTCTTTTCTTCCCCCCAGCCCGGACACCACCCCCCATTGACTTCTCCATCACATCCAACAACGTCACCATCAAACCCGCCCCGCAGGCCAGAGTACTTGGTGTCATTCTGGACTCCAACCTATCCATCCAGCCCCAAGTCCAATCTTTAACTAACTCATGCAGACTCCACCTCTGCAACATCGCCAAAATCCGCACGTTCCTAACCCCAGAAACCACTAAACAGCTCATCCACTCCCTCATCATATCACGACTCGACTACTGCAACTCCCTCCTTACTGGCCTGCCTCGCCGCTGGGTATCCCCGCTTCAGTCCATCCTGAATACGGCTGCCAGACTCATTCACCTTTCCAACCGCTCCATCTCCGCCACCCCCCTCTGCCAATCCCTCCACTGGCTTCTGATTGCGCAACGGATCAAATTCAAAATCCTAACACTGACGTACAAAGCTGTCCACCATACTGCCCCGTACTACATCACTGACCTAATATCAAATTACCACCCAGCACGCACACTCCGCTCCTCACAAGACCTCCTTCTCTCTAGTTCCCTGGTCTCCTCCTCCCATGCCCGCCTTTAGGACTTCTCCAGGGTGTCACGCATCTTCTGGAACTCCCTGCCCCAACCCATCAGATTATCACCTACTCTCCTCTCCTTTAGGCGCACCCTGAAAACACATCTCTTCAGGGAAGCCTACCCCACCCCCTGCTAACTTGCCGACTTCCTCCACTCTTCCTACCACTCCATCCCCCACAGCTATCTCCTCCTGTACCACTATCCCCTCCCTCCTAGATTGTAAGCTCCAATGAGCAGGGCCCTCGATCCCCTCATGTTTTGCATTGCATTGGTATTGTTCTGTCACATGTTCTGTCCCCCTTTGTAATGTACAGCGCTGAGCGAACTATTGGCGCTTTATAATTACTGTATAATAATAATAATATGTGACATAGGTGCAATAACAGATGTTACTCAATGGTAACTAATAACGTGAAAGAGTATTGCACACAACAAAGTCCAATATAAAAGTGTACACAAGATCCCAATTGATCTTCAAAATCCAGTGGCTGGATCCGTGGGTAAGGTGATAGGTGTGTAAAGATTGCGTACTCACCAGATACACAATCCAAATGCGCATATAACAAGTAACCACAGGACATCAAGGATCCTAATAGGTCTGGTCAGATCAGGTCAGACATCCCCTCACTGCCTAGAAATGCTGCCACACATGGAAAGGCACACACGTCCTTCCTCTCCGGAGTGTCGCTGCCTTCTGAGTCAGAATAAAAATATTATTATCACCACATTATATTATCTATATATATGACCCCCATGACATAGGGGCTATGCATTGAATATCACAGTGACAGTTGTAAAGGTAAAGAGAAGTGTATGACTTGAAAAATGTTATTGAAAAACCACATCCAGATTCTTTATGACTGCTTGTCTACTGCGTGTCTCAACCACAAGCTTAAGCAGCTTTAGTACTGATCTTACACCAAAGTATACACTTTAAACAATCTGGATAAATGTATCTAAACCCAAGAACAAAAATGTAATATACTGCAGCTTACCAGACATTAAATGTTGTGGCTGCATTTGTTTTCTTTTTTTTCTCCAGAATATGAGGGGCTTTCACCATCCCTGTGTGTATTTTTTAGATAGAAGAATTTAACAGGAGGAATACATTGGAATACGTAACTGTGTGCTGCAAAAATCAAAATTCCATGGCTCCACCATTAGCTCTCATGTCTACCCCCTTAGCTCTTTCCAACATCAGCCTCCACTCCAACATCGGCTCACTCCATACCCCTCCACCATCATCACACCACCTCCCACCCACCCATAAACCTCATTTTTCAACTACCGTAAACTACTTCCCCTCCACCCTACGTTATGACCCATAAACCTAATTTTTCAACTACCGTAAACTCCTTCCCCTCCACCCTACGTTATGACCCATAAACCTAATTTCTCAACCATCGTGAACTCCTTCCCCTCCACCATATGTTCAGACCCATAAACCTAATTTCTCAACCATCGTGAACTCCTTCCCCTCCACCGTATGTTCAGACCCATAAACCTAATTTCTCAACCATCGTGAACTCCTTCCCCTCCACCGTATGTTCAGACCCATAAACCTAATTTCTCAACCATCGTGAACTCCTTCCCCTCCACCGTATGTTCAGACCCATAAACCTAATTTCTCAACCATCGTGAACTCCTTCCCCTCCACCATATGTTCAGACCCATAAACCTAATTTCTCAACCATCGTGAACTCCTTCCCCTCCACCGTATGTTCAGACCCATAAACCTAATTTCTCAGTCATCGTGAACTCCTTCCCCTCCACCATATGTTCAGACCCATAAACCTAATTTCTCAACCATGGTGAACTCCTTCCCCTCCACCATATGTTCAGACCCATAAACCTAATTTGTCGACCATTGTGAACTCCTTCCCCTCCACGATATGTTCTGACCCATAAACCTAATTTCTCAACCATCGTGAACTCCTTCCCCTCCACCATATGTCCAGACCCATAAACCTAATTTCTCGACCATGGTGAACTCCTTCCCCTCCACCGTATGTTCAGACCCATAAACCTAATTTCTCGACCATGG